TTCTATTGAAGAAGACATATCGAAATATTGTAGAATCAAAAACCACGGCATTGACTGCACTTGGACTGATTTGAGCAATAATCACATTGAAGAAAACAGATACTTTGCCTTTTTTGCGACATCGCAATAATAATCAGCACCTGAGCTAACTAGAATGTTTATTTCAAATAAAATAAAATAATCGAGAATGCAGAAAGCGTACATTAGTAGTGGACAGTAATTAAAGGATGGTTAGTAATAGTAAAAAGAGAAGGTTTATATAAAAACATCAATTCGTTGTTGAAGACATCGTTTCTTTGAATTGGTTTTAATGCTAATAGTAGATCGTTCACTTCTGTAAAAGAAAAACGAAGAAATGATTTCAGTTTTAAGAATATATAAAACTCTCTATGAGTGAGTAGTTGTTATCTATTGTCGAATTTTTTGAATAACTCTCGATTGCTTATAGCTATTGAGCTCGAATTTTCGCCATTAGAAAGAGCAAGTGAGGGAATATCTATCTATATAAAATTCATAAGGTTCGAATAAGTTTTTCGTGAATGTTTTTGAACGAACATCTTTTTCATTGTCCATTTTCATGAGTTTTCACAGCAATCAACGCTTAAATTATAGCAAATTCTAGCCAAAAGCGACCTTTATTCCTGGTAAAATTTTCGTATTTTAAAACTACAGCTTTCAAGTATTGGTTCAAATAAATTATAGAGAGATTTAAAAATTTTACCAGGAATAAAAGTTGTTTTGGGCTGGAATTTGATATAATTTGAGCGTAGATTGCTGTGAAAACTCATGAAAATGGACTACAAAAAAGGTGTTTGTTCAAAAATATTCATGTAAAACTTATTCGAACCTTATGAATTTTATATAGATAGATGTTACCTCACTTGTTCTTTCTAATGGCGAAAATCCGAGCTCAATAGCTATAAGCAATCGAGAGTTATTCAAAAAATGGTGGTGACTATTTTTTAAAAAATCCGACAATAGATAGTTATAACAACTCGACATACCATCGGGGTCCAC